CTATTAGGCCGTGAACATTAGCAGTACCTCATTATTTTCATCACTCATCACAACCGCTTTGGTATGTTATTTGTTTGTTGTTCCAGTAAGTACCCCATATGAGGCGGGCTTCGCTATCCCGTTGCGAGATTAGTGAGAAAAACCGATAAAATGTGCCCGCTTCTCGAGCTCCTACTCCCCACCTTGCATGTTACAGTGATAAGGTTTGCCACATTCTTCTAAAACACATGGTGCCTCCGTTCCATCGGACAAAACGTGGATGAAGCGCTGGATTTTCCAGCCGTTAGGCTTTTTACACCAAGTGAGATCAAAAAATCTGTTATACTACACATTATCGTCGTCGTCATCATCATCAACAGCACGCTGGATGCGTAAACTGTAGGTCAAAGCGAGGTCTGCGCACATTTAGAAGGCGCCATTGAGGGTCAGGCAAGGAATTGTGCTTATGTTGATGCATTTCCACCTCTTCGCCAGAATCGACTTTTGGCTCTCTGTTATCCTAGTACAGTGTCGTAAAGATGGATAATCCGGGTTCTCGTCCTGCAAAGGTTTGTATTTGCTGTAAAAAAAAAACAGAATTGGGTAAAGTTGTAGAGTGGTAGGCGGCATAGCGCTCAGCTAATTCTTCTAAACTTTTAAAGTTTTTTTATCGTTTGTTGGGAAATGGATTTCCTCAGTTATTATTCTGAAATATTTCGCATTGTAGCATTTAGTCAAATTGTGTGTTTCCTTGGAAGGAGCTCTGATTCAGAAAAGTTGACAACTTTATTCTGGCAACCCCTCTCTGGTTTTGCAAACATCGTAAGTCTGCATTGCTGCATATAAACGCAGTTTTATTGTTGTTAGCATTGCTCGCCCGATTATTATAACTACTGTCATGTTATTATTGGAATTATTGTCACTGCATTTTTACTAAGTATTTTTGTTTCTATTGTTGTTATTGCAGGAAATTTTTGGCGTGGAACTGGGCGAGTATGATGGACCGAGATTTGCCGACAAGTCATTCCTCGCTGCCATGTCTGCCCGAAGAATTTTCCAGGAGGTATTTGCTGCTGTTCATTTACGCCCATCTCATCTGTACTTCTTTTTTAAACTTTAAATTCAACTTTCAATTGCTTTTTGATTGGTCACGCTTTCAATTGCTAGCTGATGCTTTTTAGCTCGAGCAGTTGAAGAAAGAACCAGTTCCGTGTTGTTTGGCCTCACCAGCTGGTGATGACATCACTAGGTGGATCATTGTGATTACAGGGCCTAAAGATTCAGTATACGCTGACGGAACGTTTTTCGTCGAAATGGAGTTTCCCAGGATGTACCCGTACTCGTGCCCCAGAGTATGTTTTTTCTTCCAGAAAAGTATGTTTCGGACAAATAGGTTCTGACAGGAGTCTGTGCAGCAAGCTTCGTTTTTTATTGTTTAATGTACGGTCTTATAAGTGGGAAGATTTCTAGGCCTTTTCACGATGTTCACGAGGCGTAGAGTGGGCATAATTCAGCTCAAGACCTTCCCGAAGGCATGCGCTTTCGCCATACAAGCAAATTTCTTTTTTGCTTAGATTGCAAATGAAGTTTTTTGCGCCTTCGAATTAGGAATTTGATGAGATGGATGGGCGTTGTGTTGGAGTTACTCCGGCTGAAACTCTGATTAATATTCTATTGCAGGTGTCGTTTCTGACGAGGATCTATCACCACGCTGTCAGCACAAGCGGTGAAGTGAGTCTGGCGTGTCTGAAAAACTGGTGCTCTACCATGGGAATTCGGACAGTTTTGACTGAGCTTATGTCTATATTCTATCTCAGTTCAACCAGTGCGTTTAGTTTTTCGTTTGATTTTCGGACAAAATTTTGTCAGTTTGTACGTAGATGAAGAGGGAAGCAGTGTAGCACGCAACATTTCTGCATATGTAGCATCTCATGCGTCACTGACTGTTTCTAGTCAAGTTGCTTGTTGTCGTTGCTGCGTAACCTCTACAAAACGCTATTTCCCTGAGTAACAGAACAGTGTCCAATTCAATTTCCCCTCATAACAGCGGTTTTAAAAAATTCTAAAAATGTGAGAAATTGATTTGCATGGCATATTTCGTTCATCTTTTTTTCCCTTGTCCCTCTGGTCGCTCTACACTCTTGCTCTCTCCAGCATCCCGCACTGCAGTAGCAACAATCCTGGATCGTTTTTTAGCTACTAACCCATCCGAGACTATATTTAGCTATATTTTATATGATATTAATTACTCAAATAGCACTAGATAAAGCGCCAAATATCTTGGCATTTTTGTATTTGGTGGTTTCTGGATAATTGTTTTTCTGACAATCGTAGAATCTGTCACGCCGGCAAAGCCTCCTTCCAGATATCTATTTTTTGAATACTTCTTTAATCATCTACGCTCTTATTTCAAAATCTCCTTGCACTTTGTGCGTTACGGTTTTGGCATTGTTGCTGGGCATTCCGCCGATGATCCTCTCCTTCGTTTTTTGCCTACTTTCTTTGCTTTTTTCCTTTCCGATCTGTCAGCTCATCTGCTGGTGATCCATCCGGCACTTCATGTTGATCGTCGCCCGACGGG